AGCAAAGACACTGTCACAGAATAAAACAAAACTAACAGCCATATAAAGAAAAAAAAATGAGCTGAAGAATTTGCAGCCAAGAGACAAAGAATTTGAACTCTTATAGTTCGGGTTAAACTATTCATTAGGGTAAGTTTTTTATGCACTACATTATCTGTGAAGACACTACCAAAAATTTAACCAGTCCAGAAGAGTGGCCAGATGGTAGATGGAAAAGTATTGTACTGCTGATACCAGTTTAAAGGTTTGGACTAGCAATGAATGTTATCCTAAAAACAGTTTAAGATGTTGATCCTAACATTAAAACCCCGAACATATTTAGGATTGAAGAATTTAAAATAATGTCTTCCACTGCATGGACCCAACTGAAATTCTAATATCTGGGTGACTCTTCAAAGTTAATGTAGGTAGTAGAAACCTAAATATGAATATGGGAATACCTGCTCTTATCACTGATTGAAAATACAAGATGAAAACTAATGTATGGTTTTTTGTTTTAGTTTTATCACTGTATTACTGCTTACCACTCTCTTAATTTTTTAAAACTGACAACCACCCACATTTCTTCCACATAATGGTAGTTCAACATGAAGGCCACAATACTAATCACATGGACCAGGTTAAAAAAATTAATGCAATTACTATAATATAGGATGGGAAATTAAAACCACACAGAGTGAGAGAATGGAATCATGCCCCTGCCAACTGTACCACCCCTGCTTTGGATGTATTTGGGGAAATCTGGGGTGGGGGAGGTCTGAGTCCATGGGGCTCCTCTAGGTTTTTGTGGCCAAAACCTGGCTCACCTAAAGCAACCAAATCACTTTGAAGATCCAACATAATTTATCTGCATACATGCAAGCAATAATACAGTATACGTGGGGCTCCCAGCAAAGCTTTGATACTTTGCTGGGTGGCCGTGAGCAATAGCAGAACCAGAGCTTATGTACCTTTGGCCCGCTATGTTGCAAGGCAAAGAAAGGCAAAGGTAAAACAAAGAAATAGGCAGACACAGTGGAAATCAGTGTGACGTTGAAATATTTTAGATAAACCCATGCATGTGAACTTATTCAAGCATATACAAACACAGGGTTGTACACAAATCACGATACCAACAGAAACAAACCAATCACAGTCCTCCGCCCATATTAAAAAAAAAAAAGCGTTTAATGGCATTCATCAACCTGAAGGCTGATTGCATCACACAATTCTGATGAGCCTTTCCAGTGGAAAACTACCCCCAAATATTTGAATGTGTTAACCTGCTCTAATTTATGCCCTTCTACTCTCCAGGAATGTTGAATGGCTCTCTTAGCGAATACCATAATTTTCAATTTATCAAAATTGAGAACCAAATGGTTTTGTCTACAGTACCTTGGTGTTGCTACAATTGCTCTTTTCAATCCAACAGGTGTTTGTGAGATTATAGAGGCATCGTCAGCGTAAAGAAGTATTGGGAGCTTGCACAGTGCTAGGATGGGTGCATGGAAATCCAAGTTATGTAGAAGGTCTACCAATGAGTTAATATAGAGATGGAAAAGGGAGGGGGCCAAAATACATCCTTGTCACGCTCCTTTCTGCACTTTTACAGGCAGGCAGCTGTGCTGCCTCCTCCCCAGCATCAGCAGGGCAGAGTTGCTTATAAAAGCTGCAACCTTGAAACAGGTGGGGGAAGGAGACGGGAGGAGATGTGTGGGTTTTGGAAGCTCTGCAGCAGCAACAAACAGAAAGCACCCAAATAAAAGGAGCTGTTTTTCTTCACAGAGGCTGAAGGGTCCAGAGGAAAAAGAAGAGGCACAGACATGACAAGCCAAGCACAACGCTGGGAAGGTGCAGGTGCTTTACATGCTGGCCACTAAGAAAGAAGAAAAAATAATGGAAGAAATCCCAGGGAGAGGAAGAGAAAGAGAGAGAGGATTTAAAGACCAGGGTCTGTCGAGTAAAACAATGTTATATGCTAGTATCAATAGCAGTATAATGGTAATAATATACTAGTAATACTATAATATAGCATAGAAGTAATAGTATAGAGTGTAGTATATAGTAAGGGTAGTAGAATATAATACGGAGGACATTGTATAGTATCAATAGTAATAGAAATAGAGTGTAGTATAAGATAATTGACATAGAAAGGACTTGCACAAATGTTTGTATGTTTCACTTTTTGTATCTTGGATATTTTTTTCAAAATAAAACATCTCCCCAGCTTTATAGGGAGATATCAAAATCAAGTTGTCTAGGGTCCAGTCCTTTTGGTGGATCTTTGGAGTCTGAGTCAGTCAAACTGGGTACAGGTTAAAAAGAACCTGTGACAAAAACTTAGCAACTTTCTATGCCAGCATCAACAGTCATCAGGCAGATTTTAATTCAGAAAGTAGTTTCCAAATGTTTGGTCCACATGAAGAGCCACTAGTTATAAGCAATTTTCAACAGGAGCATATCTCCAAATTTCATTGAAACTTGATTCTTCTTTTATAATTTTTAATAAACATTAATATTGTTGTTGTTGTTGTCTAAACCCTAAGAAAGGTAGCTGTTATGAAATTATATTAAGTTCAATGTGGCTTCAATGTGTCTGACTTTATAAAGATTGCTGCTTATAGAATAAAGGTTCATATGGAACATAAGATGTATTATTGTCCATTTGATTTCTCATCTTTAAATTATAACTAAGACTTTTGAAGGCTATAATACTGGTAACAGCCTCCTGTATTTGTTTTTATTATTGTTTTAATGACCTATATATTTTGCCAGTTGACAAATTTATGTGCTATGTAAATAAACATTTGGCAGCAGTTATTTACTTCTAAAGCATAGTGCAAGAATACTTAATAAAATGGGTGCACCTTCAAGTTACGGTCAAAGAGTACTGAAATACAAGTAGTCACATGCTGCAGGCCTAGATCCAAAAAACTGCGTGACTAGCTTCATATATAAGTAGGAATTTTGAATGTGCTTTTTCAAGAGCATTCTGACAAGGCAGAGTGGTATGGTCACCGATTTTCTTTCTATCTAAAGTTCATTAGGCTTGAAAACAATGTTGTTACTTCTTTTTAAGCAGTAAGTATAAGCATTGTCTTTTGGAGAACGTTTATCTCTCTGTAAAGCATCTTCCTAAAATGTATTAGGTTAAATAGATGTTTCCACTGAAAGCACAGTCCTAAAATGCATGAAGTATTCAAGAATGGGGACAACTGACTCTTTGCTGGGCAGAGCTTCGAGTTTTAATGTTGTTTCCATTTTCCTTATTCCTTACAAGAAAACAAACCCAAAAAAGAACAAAAGCTCCATGTATGTCAGCTGTGATGAGCAGCTTAAACATCACCTACCTAAAGTCTCTTGCAAATCACAAGCAATCCATTAAATATAAATCTCTTAATATAACTCTAACCACACTAAGTTGCTTTTCAACTTGTTGGCATGCCTGATATGGCACTGACCCAGCATTTCCGATAGCAGCTAAAGCAATTCCTTCCAAGATGCTCCAGAAGAAGATGAAACGACCACCAGAATCCTGGCAAACATCCTACGGAGGAGAAATGCTTAACCTGCCTGAAATCCATTAATGAGTTTTCCCAACGCACACCAGAGAGAGAAGCAATCCACAGAAGCTTCCTGCACTAAACAGGCCCTCAACAACTGGATTGGCATAAAGTGACAAAATGTTTGGCAGAGGCTTAAACCCCATAACTTAGTTAAAAAGACAAGGATAGAAGAAGATAGATTGGAGGCAATTTAGTTGTTTCTAGGAAGAGGAACTGCCGCTTGATCCTAGTGACATATCTGTTAACCTTTGCTTCAAGTACAGAATAGAAGGCAATAAACAGGGAATCAAGTAATGTTACGAAGTAACAACGCAGAAAAGGGAAAAAGAAGGCAAAATTACCTGTAATAGAACTTTCTATAAACTAGTGGCCATTGGAAGTAAATTGTACTTGGCCTTAGTATGATTACAAGAAGGTATATTATGATGCCAGCAATAGTATCCAACTAACTATGCAAATTGTAGACAGATTTTTACTCTCAATTCAGCAAATTTTTGGACTATAAAAAATCTGTCTGAAAAAGAAGAATCCATTCATTCTCCCATAATAAAGCAGGTGTTAAAGCTGAACAAGGTATTCAGAAACAGCATGTGGAACCATCTTTCCAGGCTTGTACCATTTCAGAGTATAGCAGGGATTCTTACACATAAAAGCAGATACCAAATTTAGACGGGAACTTAAAAAAAAAAAAAATAATAATTCTGGGGAATCAGGCCAAAGAACTCCCCAATCCAACATCCTGTTCCCACAGTAGATAATCACATGCAATAGGAAGGGTTTTTTGGTTGTTGTTATGATGATGATGATTTTTAAAAAATGATAATTTATTGGTAATGATAACTTTGCTGTAGCCATGATATAATACATTTATAAAAGAAAAAGAAAATAACCACGGCAGATCTACTAAAATAACATTACCTTTTATATAGTCTATCTTTGGATATATTCAAGAAGAGATTATAATGAATGTTATTTCTTCCTGCATACAAAATTAAAACTGGAATTGGTGCTCATGGCACATATACAATAACATCTGCCACCTACAAAATGCTGCTGCCCTCAACACTTACTATATACCTACCCAGCAAGAGCTATAAATGTTTTCTGTAATAACTCTATCAATGGGAAGCTGTTATGTCTTCATTGTAATAAAGCAATCCATAAACAACAACTGAATCACTACTTTTCCTCTGGAGCACATGTTAAACTACCTGTTTACCTTAGCGTTAAATGGTCAAATTTAAAACTAATGGATATCCTTCAAACAAAAGCTGTTTATTAACAAAAGATAGCTTCCACCAAAATATTTTCACACTTTTTTTTTTTTTTTATAGCAGACCATCCTCTTGGAAGCTTTGCTAGTTTAGTAGAGTAAAAGCAATTTTATTTTAAAGCTTCCCCTTCTTCTAAATGGAATTTAAGAATAATCAGAAGAGAGCAATAAAACACACTGACCTGAATTTGCTGCTGCAGGAGATTGATTTTGTGCTGCTGCTGCAGAAGTTGCTGCTGTTGTCTTGCAATCTATTGGAAATAAAATTTCCATTAAATTAGAATAGAGATGTTGAAATTCAATATTATTCAGGGAGAGCAAGCTCTTCATGATAAGTTCTAAGGTTTTTATTCTTTGCTACATTGAACTTTACTTGTCCATGAGTTAATTAAAATACCAGAAGAAGGTTTTAAAGATATTATTCATTAACCCAATCTTTAAAACATAGTCAGAAATAGCTGGTTAAATTGTTGTGCATTTTATTGATGAATTTACAGTTTTAAACTGCCCATCAGGTAATGGCCACTTTAATCAGGAGCAGATTAGGCAAAGGGTCTTCTCTTCCAGGTTGGTAGGGCAGCCCCATTTTAGGTCATCTCATGCTTGGAAATGAGTTTGTGAAGCAGCCAAAAGAGCCGCATCTCAGCCACGATGAACTCTTTGGAACTCTCCATCCAAAGCAGACTTCTTGGAGCATATGTATACTTTTACACATGATTTAATTACAACTTCGCTGTTGAAAAAAAGCTTCTCCAGGCACTAGAAACCCTGTGTGTGTTTGTTTGTTTGTTTATTACCTTTGCTAAGTTGCCTTGTTTGCTAAATTTTTAGCATTACTTTTTATCTTCTATTGTTCTCCTGTGCTTGGTGTAGTTTGAATAGAAAAGCATTCTGCCTATATAATATAAACACAAAAACTGTAATTATTATTGCTGTTGTTTGGCTTCACTACATTATCATTGTTGCCCTAGTGGGTTAATTCTTTATTATATTATATTGCTTTTTACTCTCAGTTACTCTTTTGGTTTTGAATTATACATTTAGGATTGTATGTTTTAAGCTTTTGTATCATGGTTTCTAATAAGGTTCTAGATATGTGGTTATATCTGTTTGCTGTTCAGAGTCATATAAACTTAAATAAATAAATAAATAAATATTTTTAGCAATGTTGCTATGTTTCAGTTGCACTGCTACTTAAAGAAACACTTTATTGAATTTAAATTACTTTCAGTTTGGGGACAGAAAGAAATCCTAACATCGCAAAGAAAACAACAACAAATAGAATAGTTTACTTACACAATACAGTGTACACCATCTACTTTATTTTATTTCTTAGTAGATATATTTTAATCCTGCTTTTCCTCCAGAACCTCAAGATGGCAGACATAGCATCATTTCTTCAACTGTTTTCCCACAACATCCCTGTGAGATAAGTCATTCTAAGGTACGGACATGTAATGGGCAAGTATCATGCCCTATATGCTTTATCTTATGTTCTTTTCCAGTATACGTTTCTGGAATTCTGCCAAAGGCACAGCACAGGAAATTGGGAAAGAAGAACATTAGATAAGATTTATATATTCAGACTGCACAGATTCTGTGGCCTTTGCAGACCAAGAGAGGGGTTGCCTTTTTGCCCCTACAGCTGGTTAGAAAGGACTTTCCACGTGTGGAACACTAGGCTAACCTACACTTTTGCTCATTAATATGTTACTTTTCTAAGTATAGGGTGCTATTTGATATATGGTAAAATACCTGGAAATGGAATCACTCTCCTGAATCTGACGCTACAGATATCTAGGGTAGTTTTCCAAACTTTGTAAAAGAAGTTTGAACTATCTCCAATCGGCTTATAAGATTCCCTCTTACAGAGCTATGCATGATCAGGTTGTTGGGGAGTTTTAGGAAGAATTGCTTTCAGGCTCTATGCCATATTTTAGCGCATTGTTTTTTACCATATTTTTAATATTTTAAGATGTTTACTCTTATTGAGGCATCTTGTTATTGCAAGCACTCTTTAAGGTTTCACTGAGATGGAGTGAGACAGGGCCAAACAAAAAATGTAATGTTAATTTAATAGAGGGAGTAAATCCATACCTGAGAAGCAATGACCATACAGAGACAGACGTCATATTCAAAGTTTGCACCCAGACTATGGCAAAAGCCTTGTATAACTTGGGAGCTGATTTTACTAGAGTTTAAATGTTAGTACACAGATCGCTGCAGTTACAAGTACAATGTATGAGCAAATGAATATTTATATCCTTACGGAAACCAGTGAAGTACTACCACAGCATCTAATGTTGATGGTGTTTGTGATATGAGAGAGAGAGAGAGAGAGAGAGAGAGAGAGAGAGAGAGAAAGAAAGAAAGAAAGAAAGAAAGAAAGAAAGAAAGAAAGAAAGAAAGAAAGAAAGAAAGAAAGAAATCCAATGTACTGCAGAGCAATTACCACAGTGCAGTTTCAATGTATAGGGCATGACACCACAAAAGATGGCACAGGAGCACCATGTGGCTCAACTCCTGAATTTTATTTGCGAATTGGTTGAGCTACATGCTCGCTTCATTGAGCATGACAACCTAGTTTTAAGTGTCATTTAATTTTCATTTTGAAATATAATTACAAAGTGTTCACTGTAAGATATCACTCGTCTGCAAATGTGTCAAGATTAATTTGTGCTAGCTTATTCACAAGTGTCAATAGTTAATTACTGTGTCATCTCTGGATGGCTAAATGACATTCTAACTTCTGATTTTTTACAGTATTCCTTTATGTTATTTTCCATTAGGGACGAGTCCATATTCCTCACATGTGGGCAAATATTCAAGCACATAAAATACCAGACGTCATAACTCATTAAAATCAACAGAGCATACTTTGTGGTATATACTCTATAAAACATATTTAACTGAAACTAAAATTCTGTTTAAAGTCAGATTCCTAAAAACTGCACATTAATTTAAAATGAATGCCCAAGGAACTCATGGACTCTCTTGTTGTTAGTTTTTTCACACAAGATTTCTAATAGTTGCGTGGGTGCCTCTTGTACATTTCAATTTTCTTTGAACTTTGAATGGTCAAATAATTAACCAATTATTTTGTCAACATGCATTTAATAATTATCTTATGAACTAGTAGGAAACATAGTCTTATAGCAAGGAAACCATTTGTTAGAAATATTGGAATCTATGGGAGTAATCTACCAGTTACAAATTAATGAAAGTTTGTGGGACCATTCACTAAAGGGAAAAAAGTAATTCTAAATAAACTATTAACCATCATTCCTATTAGGTTCAGCTAAGACTTTCTTTCATGGGTAGTTATAGTTCATAATCTTGAAACTATTTTATATATGTATGTATGTGTGTGTGTGTATATTAAAGCAGCATATTCGGCACTGAAGACATGCAGGAGATTCTAATAAATCTCCATGTTTTGTAAGTGGGGCAGCTAACACAAATCTAATTAATAATAATAATAATAATAATAATAATAATAATATAATAACATATACACAAGGGCCATCTCTCTCTCTCTCTCTCTTACTCTCTGTCTCTCTTTCTCTCTGTATATATTGGTTCTGTTTTAATTCAGGGCTGAGTGCGAAATAAGCTCTAGTAAGATTTTTTTCAGATGAATGTTTTTAGATGTTGGCATTTTGTCACTTACCTGTTCTTGCTGTTGGCGAGCGAGATCCATTTGCTGCCGTTGTTTTTCAATTTGCGATGCTGCCAGCTTTTTCTGCTCATCATGGGCAGCCAGAAGCTGCTCCCGTAAGCTGATGAGCTGGGTAATCATGGTGGAGAGCTGTCGCTCTTTTTCTGCTAAGCTTTCAGGTGTACCTAAAGGAGAAACAGAAAGATGGAGCATAAATAACAGACAAATAAACAATCTGAAAGGATAAAACTATTTCTCTCTTACAGATGGCAATTTAAATATTTTATTAGAACATACATTAATAAATTCTGCTACTGCATTTTTCAAAGGTAGGGATCTTTCACTATCATCTGTGTAAGAGAAAACAGATAATTTCTCCCTTCTGACAAGAGGTAGAATTAATTACGTAATTTGCAGTAGCACATTCCTCTTTCCCTTCCATTCAAGTATAATGGCTCTTTAATGAATTACTACATTCACAAAAAACATTAACATAATGTCATCCCCCCCAATTAAATACTTTTAAATAAACAAAATGTAAAACAACCCTAAATCCTGTTTACTAAAAAAAAAAAAACTGCACTAATTTTTCAAAGATTTCCAGCGTTCACAAGAAGTGAATATATCATACCGCATGACCAGATACGTTCCACTTTTATTCCTAAGAAACCCTGGCTAACATAAGCCCTCATTAGGATTGAAGCCAACGAGCTAAACTGAACCTAGTTTATACATTCCTTAAGCATGTACCTGTTGAAAGAGAACTACATATAGCACAGTTAAAATTGAACAGTATTAAAATTAGTAGGACATTATTTGCATTGACAACCCACTTGTTCTGTTGAGGACTGTCTGTAAATAGTTTATTTATTTTTTAAACTGTGATTTAATAACAGAATTATCAGAATATGTATGCTTTTGTTGTAACTTCCAGAAAACCATCTAAATTTCCACGGGTATATTGAAACTACCTACAAGAATCTCTGAAGCACTAAGAATGGAAGAAGATATGTCTGAGGCTAATAATTCATGCAAAGCATACATAGAAATCTGTAATAATTTTCCATTGGCTCTGGTGGTTATATGCTACAGGGGATGTTGTTATGATAGCCTAGCACCTGTTGGTTTTTCATTTAATTAGCAAGTTTTGGCCCCAGCAAGAAGCAGCAAAAACTGGATATGGGATAATAATTTGAGAACTTTTGGGTAGACTGAGATACCAAAAAAAAAAAACCAAAACAAAACTGGAGGAGGGGAACAGTAAAGTACTTCCATTTTGATACCAAGAAAACTGCATGGCGACACTCATTAGGACTAGAGTTTCATTCAAGGACACTGTTACTTTTTAGTGGGTTTTGAGCTATATTCTCATACTGTCAAATTTAACCTTGAAATCAGGAATTTTTAAAATATGTTTATACCAACTAATTTACTTATTTCTACAATATCAGCAGCTTAACACCTTGGTTTCAAATAATGTTCTTTATATCTTCTGTAATCTAGAATGAAGTAAGTGCATGCAAGACATGAAAAGGCATAAGATAGCAAAACCAACTGTGCAATATATTCTGTATAAAAATGAAGGCACAAAAGCTCTAATGCACACAATCACAAGTAATAATAGTAGTATTACACTTTCAGGCTACAAGGCTTGGAACTAAAGTGAAGTTCAGAAACTAAAATGAACAACTGATAAAGTACTAAAGGAAAGGATTAGCAATTGCAACTGGAAAAAATCAAAGTCAGCTAATATATCTTCTGTGGAAAGTCTCCTCCTTTGGACCAGAAAAGCAGAATTCTTCTTTCACACATGCCTCATTTCATCTTTCCACATTATATAGTTAGAAAAACTGGTATGCAATCAATGTATTTAAAGTAATACATTTGATCAGCCTTTAAGGGGGGGAAAGGTATTTATTCATGAATAGTTTTAAGTCCAGTTTTAGACACCAGGAATAAAATATCCATTCCACAACATTTCCCAAAAAAGTCAATATAAGGATTGAACAGTAACTAGCAGGATATTGTTAACAGCTACATTTAAGTCAGCTCCAGTATTTCTTTATCCCCCTCCCCTTCCCTAATAAATGTGTTCCTTCTATTAACAGGATACTAAAACTCAGTCACTCACTAGCTCTTAAATGCATCTTGAGAGCCTCTCTATCCAATGTTTGAATGAGCAGAATTCAATTCATTCCAAGGACGCAATGTATTATAGCTTACAGTGGTCCTCAAAATGGGTGCAAAGTACTAACAACACTGAGTGCCAATCTGCTTTGGTGAAAGTTTTGGTATTCTATTTGAGAAACCAAAGTTCAGTTCATAGCTCAGCCGGCAAGCTCATTAGATGGTTAGGAGCAAACCATTTCTCGTCCTACTTCATAAAAGTACTATGCATATAGAATGGTTTTATCTAAGTATGCTGTCAAATAATGAAAAATGGAAACATCCTAGGTTAAGTCTTTTGCATCCCTAATAATTCGATAACAGACTTAATGTGAATTGGTTTGACACCGTACCTACATGAAACCATTATGATTTTCACAGAATGCAAATTGGTGATAGCACCACGGATGAAGGGATGGGGATAGGTATATTTAAACACACATGGACACACAGAGGAATCATTTAAATATAAACTCAACCTGCACTAGTTACACAACAAGATACAGAGACAGGGTAGAATATTGTGCAGCCTACTTGTTCGTCGACCAACATTTCAGCCTGTGCACTGAGATAATGTTGATAGGAAGTAGACAATTTTAGCTGCAGCACAGGGTAAACTTTGTTCCATTGGGACAAATTATACTTCCATCTACAGCAAGATAGCTGCACATCAGATACCAAAGCTGCAAACCAGGTTTCCATTTATGTTAGAAAGTTCTGAAAAGAAGATTCTCCTTCTCAGTCTCAGTCTCAAGAGCTGTTGAAATCCTGAACAAGGTGGCTGAGTCCACACTGAAGTGGCCAAACTCAGAAATACCACCGGTAGCCCAGTAGGAATAAGAAGTATTAGAAAACCATTTATAACATTAGTGGATTAAAGTTTACTTTGTCTACTGGCTTGTACTGTACACATCAAGGGCACTGTACAGAGATACTACTGTAGAGCCAGCAGTAATCTAGCCCTGCTTTCCCTCTTCACATATGAAGCAAAGAGGCTTTAGGAAAACTAATACAGGTTTATGATGCTTTCATATATTCTCCTATTGAAATGAGAAATGGGGGGGGGCAGGGTGGAAGGGAGAGACAGAAACAATTAATTAACTCCCCAGCCACCATTCCCACTAATCCATTTGCAGTGGTATAAATATAAATAAAGAACAAAGAAATGAGCTGCTATGATTGGTTTCTTATAGTTTAACCATACACTGTCATCAATTCTTTGCTATCCACGTGCTATGATATCTTAATAAATTATCAATAAATAAGCTTTTCTGCTAAGTTGAAAAGCACATCTATATTTATCTATTTTTAAATAATGAAGAATCTGAAGGCCAAACTTGCTGTGAAGTGAAGAAGATCCTTACCACGGTTCTCATCAAATAAAGATACCAGCTTCCATAATACATTACCCATGACACATACACCTTTCTCTGACTTTAAACTGGATCTGTCTGCTAACTCTAAAGATATGGTGAAAACCATGCCACCCTCCCCCACTCCCAGATTTCCAATGGGGTCTTCCTTATCCCCAAATCACATCTGTCTTGAGTTTCTCTCAGATTTGTCAGGTGGATCAGTGCTCCCCAGGGCCTGCTCCAGCTGAAGTATTTTAATTTGACTAAACACCTGATTTATTTTATCTCTCCGATGAGAAAGGCAGTTTGTCTTAATAGAGCCTGTCAGCCCACAGTCCCATTCAGAGCAATTTACAGGCAGCCAGGGACGCTGGGAAAGAAGAGTGCTGTAATTCTGTATTTTATCCTCCTCCCAAAAGCACCTAAAAGCAGCTATTCACAGCTCTTGCATATGGCATTTTAGGACTGAATTAGCTTTTTATTCAAGTAACTACATTTGTTGTGAATAGCTTATCTGTAAAATTGCCACATTCACTACTGATTTTATTAACCTTTGGCTCTATTGCAAAATGGTCTTCAGTTAGGAAGGACCTTTAAATTTGACATATATTTTTTTCAAGAGACCTTTTATTCTAGTGACTTCAAATTTACTGAATTTGATCCATTGACTCCTTGAGCAGTTATATTCAAAACTTTATGTCTCACTGGGAAAATCAATATCATGTGTGGAAACCTTTTATTTTATTTTAAAGATGACACTTTCCACTAACAAACCAACAGTAGTGCATTAACTGCTGTCATCATAGGATGATTCTTAAAGAAAAATAAGATCCTTACACTAGCTCTTCAGTTTATTATTGCTGTATATTTCCATTGCTTTGGAAACTCTATATAAATCAACAAACTGAAAGTAAAATATTTATTTAAGCAAGAAGGTATATAAGCAGAACATTTGCCTTTTTGCCCCTATAGTTTCCACTAATGAAACAAGATCTTTTTATAAAAACTGAATGGCATTTTAGCTCTTTAGCTAAGAGAAATGCTACAAGAAACAGAATCATCACACATGAATAGATCTGTTTACATAATGGACCTTCCCCTTCCTTTGCATTAACACCCTACCTGCCCAAAGCTATTGCATACGTTTCCACATCCTCCAGAGCAATTTATGAGTACACAGGGGCTATGCAGGAGGAAGAACAGGTACTATATATATATATATATATATATATATATATATATATATACACACACACACACACACA